CTCCCACTGGATTCTTCAGGAAAGATTAACCCCTTCTACCATTAGAAGCACCTTAAACTTGCTTAGCTTATGTATGTATTACTGACCATCAGATTTACAGTGCTATTTTTTTACATAACTCACATAAACCCTTTAAGGGTTTTTTGGTATTTTATATCTTAAATGCACTTATGTGAATTAATTAATAGTAATTTGGATTTTAAATTTGGTTAAGAACCCATAATATTAAAAAAAATACCAAAAATTAAAAAAAATGATAAATTTGAAGACAATTTTGCATGTTGTGGCAAATCATGACGTCTAGGATTTTTTTCAATATTTTATTTGTTTTCAGCACACCAAAATACATGGAAATTAGATGAAAATAATCAAACAGCTTTTTAGTCGCAGACCTGGGTAATAAGAGATACTTAATTAAACTGCACATTTAATCAGAATAGCTAAGTAAATTTATATATGATGAATGCAGCAAAAATTATCTAATAAATATAAGGAATTGTAAATTTATGCGTTTGATTTCCTGATACATACCATAATAAAGTTAGCAAATTTAAGGGTAGTTTTATTATAACTTCATTTGTAAAAAAGACGGTAAAATGAAGGTTGGTAAAATGAGGACAAAAATTGTTGGCGGCAATATGCTAATATTGTCAACTACTTAGGGGCAGTGCTATTGCTATTGCTAAAGCAACTAAGCTTCTTCTATATAGAAGGCTAACAATGAAAAAAGAACAGAAAAAATGCAAACAACAGTATTCTATGTTCCAGTATAATTACATATTTAAATCACAGAAAGAAGATACTATACATCATAAAAGTGCACTCACCATCAACAAGAGATGGGATGGATCGCTCGTTATCTGAGTTGGAAAAGAGAATCAGCTCCTTGTTGATAAAGTCATTATAAGTGAGATGCTTTGTTGCAGTCCCATACAGAAATTGCTAAAATAAATAACAGTTATTATTACTTTGTAACAAATAACATCATTTATTTCTCCTTAATATTCCAACATTACCTCTGGTAATCCATGCAGCCGACGTTGTCTTCTATCTTCCATGAAATTTGTCAACCATTCTTTTCTGTCATCTATTTTTTTCTTACTGAAGGCCTACAAAAATATAACAGATTGCTCACGACTTTAAAATAGATTAGAGTGGCTATAAAACACCAAGTTTTAATCAAAGTCCAACAATGACATAAACTAGAAATAGCTTATAACTACAAGCTACATACTGAATAACTGTATACATGATCAGAGGTCATAAAATATTGTGTACATCTATTCCATGCTACATTGCAAAATATGTTAATAGATGGCACATTTCTTTTAGAAAAAAGTCCCAATTTGAAGGCAATTTAATATCCTGTGTATGAATTGTACATTTAAAATATGTGGTAATTATTTAAATTAAATTTCCATACTTTATTAATGTTTATAGTTTATTTTTATTCCCAAATAAAAAAAGAAAATGGCTGTTCATTATTCTCTTTTTTTTCCAAGTAAAGAAAAATAGTAAAAGGAAAAGGGACTAAAAGGAAAAACACCTTTAAAAAACATTTTTAAATCTTGAGTCCCAGGAAAAATATTGCTCATACTTTCCATTATGTTGACAAGAATTAAGATTATAAAGCTAGAATGGCTTTTCAGTCATCCAGGTCATGTTTGCCCTAAAAGTACTTTTTCAAGAGGTAACTGAATCAATCAGAGCTGAAGAAGCTTCTTGGATGAGAAGCAAAACATCTTCAAAGAAAAACAAGAAAGTCCAATTGCCTCTTGAAAAAATTCAAGACATTGGGACTAGAATGACAACATTATTCTGCTGCACAAAACACTCTACATTCATTCAGAGATCCATCTACTGTATTTTTCAGACTATAAGATGTTCTGGACTGTAAGACGCACCTAGCTTTTTACGGAGCAAAACAAGAAAAAAAATCTGCCTCTGCCTCCCAGTAATTTGCTTCCTTGCATCAAACCGTAAACAGCTTCAGCACAGCCTGATTTAGCACAAGCAGCTGATTGCAGTGGAATCAGCCTTCTGGAATACTACTTATCAGCTGTTCCAGCCTATGGAAATCACCACCCATTGCTGCCACCACCTATCACTGCCTTTGCATGCCCCATTTTTGGCCTCCATGCATGCCATTTTTGGCCTCCACGGGTTCCATTTTTGCCCTGTTCCTGGCAGTGGGTTATGGGGATCATCTAGGCCGAAAATGGGGCACTCGGAGATGGTGATAGGGGGCAGTGGCGAAGGGCACTGATTCCCACATCCTGGAACAGCTGATAGTGTGAAGTTTCCAAAGGATGACCTAATTAATTTACAAGCCTCGAGACAAAGTTCAAAAGAAATCCATTCATTTATTAGGATCAACATTTTGGCATGTTCTTCTGTGGAGCCGAAACTGATTCCTGCTTAATTGCATTTGAACTTTACCCCTGTATCTCCTCCCCTCTGTCTGTGTCATAAATCACATCTACCAACAAGGTGCCTATGGCAGGCTATGAACATGTGCATTTCACACACCAACTGTAGGAATACGAAACCTGACTCTGGCCAAAGGTATGCATGGAATTCTCCTCCTTTCCTCCCTTTTTTTATGTCGACTTGATAGTAGTCATGAAAACGCTTTACAAGTTGACATATAGGTGGTATTCCGGGAGGCTGATTCCACTGACAATCAGTTGCTTGTGCTAAATCAGGCTGTGCTGAAGCTGATCAGGCTGTTTGCTGCAAGAATGCAAATTGCTGGGAGGCAGAGGCCAAAAAAATATGATAATTACCTATATCAGTATTGAAATAATCTTCATTTAGCAGGATCCAAATTTTATTTAGATTTAAAATATTTAAATCTAAAAATAAGGAGATAATTTATGAACAAGAACAAGTGTGATAAAGTCACGTATATCGAGGGGCGCTTCGCCTCAATCCCCCTCTCATGATCGTGGGGATGCTGCAACGGTCATAAATGTGAAAAATGGTCATAAGTCACTTTTTTCCGTGCCCTTGTAACTTTGAATGGTCACTAAATGACCATTCGATATGTTGTAAGTCACTGTTGTTTTGTACAAGCTTACCTGTATAAAAATACAAAAAACTTCTTTGCTTGCAAAAAGCTGCCCTAAATACTAATCATTAGATTAGAAGTAGGGAAATATACATTGAAGATCAATGACAGTCACACAGCCATCATGGAAAACTAAACCATTTTGTCTGAATACCTTCCTTTTCTCAGCAACACCTGCAACCCAGAGTTACACATCAAGCAGGTTGCCAGAACACATTGAGGAATTAAAATAGTTAAAATACAAGGATAACTATCAGCAGCAAAGTTACTCTTGCTCATAAAGTAAAACTCTTTAGCAGAGAGGTCATTTAAGCTCTCCTGAAAGTGAGTGGGCATATTTGGGCTATAAAATGTAAAAAATTAACATCTTGAGTGAAGGCTAATCTCATTCTGCCTTTGTTCAGACCTTACTTTGGGGAATTTTTGCCTTTGAATATAGCTATCTATCTCTTTATCTCTAAAGTGCTGATATCTTCTGTGGACTATTAAGGAAGGTGGGGACTGTTTTCTCCTCCTAAGAACACGTTTTTCAATTTTTCATTCAGGGAAATATATTCTTCCTTTTTAATATTTCTCAAAATATTTCATTCTTCTAGGAGAGGGGTGGATGCTAACTTTCTACAATTGGTGCCATGTTACTATGCCATATTATCATGAGAGAAAATTAAAACAAATTGGACTTATGGGCTAGAAATACAGGCATACCAGAATGTTTTGTTTCTTGTCTCCCTTGCAGGATTAGCCTTGTAAAATGGAAAAGATTTCTTCCAACAACTGGTTCTCCGAACTACTCAGAAAATTAACATCCAGTTTGGGAGAACCAGTGCGAACCAATAACAGCTGACCTCTGGGCATATTCCAAGCAATGCTCTTTTAAGATTTAGTTTTTAGATTTTTCCCTTTATCTAATTTGTTAAATTTAAACAGATTGACAACATGCAAATACAATTTCTCATCCCATGAAATTTTATAGGTGGCAGGAATCAATCTTAAGACATTTTCTTTTATTTTTGTAAGGTTCGAAAGTCACCTTCATCAAGTTTTCTTTTACCGTGGTTTCTTACAGATTTTTGCTACATAAACATAGATAACATTGCTTAATAATCAGATATTACAATGATTTCAATATGTTTTAATAATGTAAATAATTATAAATAACAAAAAAAGATGTTCAGCAGATATATACCAATGTAATGGCTGCATCATCTTCAGGACCAGCATATCGAAATAAAATCCGATGTCTTTCCATATCTGCAAAATATTCTTTTGCTTCTTTAGCAGTGCTGGTGCCTAAACCTAGTTCAATTGGAAAAAAGCTTGACATGTTAAACTATAGTTTTTTTCTCAATGTATTACAGAATAATTTAATAATCACTCAGGAAGACTCAAAAAGTACAGCCAAAAGTTTAATATTAATCCAATAGTGATTATATAAATATTTTTAAAATGTTAATCTAATTAGTATTGTAAATGACAAATCAACTAAATTTCTATTTCAATTAATTCATTTTAAAGTGCATTTTGGATTAAAAATATTTTTGAGGAAGGGGAAAAGGAGTTCAGTACAAACCTTTGTAGTATTTTATTTTCCATGCTTTATGATTTTCCATATGTTTTTTCCATTCATCAAATTCAGGAATACTATAGAAGGAAAGTTCCTGCTTATTTTTACTTGCCTGTAAATAAAGAGAAATTCAATTAGATTTTAGTTCATAATTTTTCCTGTGTTTTATAATGATTACATATAATATTTTTTTATGGTTATTTCAAGTATGATTTGGGCCATCTTAACACAACCTCGACTTATAATAGGTTAATCCAAATACAGCTCAAAATATTTCACAGGTACATATGCTTGGCCATATATGCCATGTCATTAGAATGAATAATAAATTTATTTCAAGATTTTCAAGGACTGGATGTTGAAATTAGAACACTTGAGAAGGTTAGAAATTAGAATACTTGGGAAGGTGGAAATAGTGTCATACAAATCTTTCAATGATTCTCTAAAAGATTGCTATTTTATATAATAAATTCTGACATTATCCTAAGAAATAAAAGCAACAAGTTTATATAAAGCTTTATTTCTGGGCAACAAAGGATTGTGTCCATGATATATAATCAAAGTCGGAAACATAAATGGTAAATGTTTTATATACAACTTTTGCTGAAGAAAAAAAGTTCTTTTCTTAAATCTTGAATCATTCTTAAATGTAAAGAAATATGCTTGAATATTGAAAATATTATATTCATGCTTCATTTCAAATATTAAATGACATAAAATTTACCTCAGGTTTATTAGTTATAGCATGTACACTGACTATACTAATTACCTTTACAATTGGAGTAATAAATTCTTCAAGGAAACCATGTTTCAAAAGTGAAGGCCAATTGTGATGAATAAAATTGATTAGCAAACCCTTAATGTGTGATCCATCTTGATCCTGAATAAAAAAAGGAAAGATGAATGCATCACAGGGGATAACTTTTACAGATGATTCCATTTTCGTTATTTTAAAAAAATCAATGAAGATTCATATATTTATGAGTGCTTTGAAAGCAACTTAATCCTTGAAAGGGATTGATGTCTATCAGAAAAGAAGGTGAAGTCACATTCCTCTGCGTTTCTTTCTCGCCAAATGTCTCTCAATTCAAAGTCGTCCATCATGTCAAAAAAAGGTTTGGGTAGCTTAGCTCGCATTTTAGTGTTTGGGCGAGATGTCTTCTTATCTCTTTTAGTGTCTATCACACCGTTCCAATCACCCAGTAGTATACAAGACCTATAGTCCCACTGTACTAATTTAGCATGAAGATTTCTATAGAATCCGTCTTGCTGTTGATTA